AGGGTCCTTTTCCCTGGGTGGCTTTTCTCATTGGAGACCAGGTCAAGTGGCCTCTGTGGGGAAATGTGCCACCTTCAGTGTGATCTGTCAGTGGCCAGGTGAAGGCTGGCAAAGGTGCACAGCCAGCTGCCCGCAGGAGCCAAAGTGAACAGCGGGTCTGGGGCAGGGATGGGTCCAGACGCCCGTGGGCTGGGCCAGGGGACCCCGTCCTCTCGAGCCATGTGCCACCTACTTCCTACGCCTGGCTCATTTGATCTGGAGACTTTGACCTCACGTGCCTCAGAATGAAACAGTGGCTGCTGCCTCCAGGTTGCCTTTAGTTCCCTCGTGCCGTGGTTTACGGGCGAGAGGAACGGGAGTCTTGTGGGTGAGCAGTTAGGGAGGATGTGTTCGGAGCTAGAAGCGTCCTCAGAGGTTAGCCTGCTGATACCACTCATCGTTTCTGTACCGTCTCTAAAAAGGCGTCACTTTACAAATGATGTTTAGCTAATAGCCCCCCCATGAGAGCTTGCTGGGAACCCCGGGCACAGAGCCTAGACCTAGAGCCTCCAGGAGGGGCGGGCAGTCCGAGGCTGATGGAGGCGACTGCAGTGCCCCAGCCAGCACTGAGCCAGACTCTCCCATGACACTTTCTACACGATCTCAAGAGTGATGCTTTAGTCTGTCTGCCTGCACTAGGACCAGTCCCAGGGTTGGTTTGCATGTCACTGTGTTGGGAAGGGCGACTTTGATGGTCATATGACCAGAGAAGGCTTTGAACAATCCAGGTGGAGGAGGTGAGGAATTGGCATTCAGACCAAACCTCACACCTCAGCCCACGACCGTCCCCTTGAGCTTCTGTCCTCTCTGACATTTACTGGCCTGCCGGGGTCCGACGGTGAAACCCTCCCAGAACCCAGAGGCAGGAGGCCGGTGCGGCCGACAGGACTCGGGACATGCTCGGGCTTCTGCGCGCCGCGGTCGGTCTTGCTGTCAGTCTCCCGTCTCAGCAGCATCCGCCAGGGCAGGGACATGGACACGTTCCTTTGTTGTAAATTGTATTTAAACCAAGTATTATTTTTCCTGTATACTCTGGTGAAACAAGGCTTAATTCTGTTAGTTCAGTATTACAAATTATGATCAAGCCCAAACTTAAAGCTGGAATATTTTTTATCCCTTAATTTTGAGATGGAATCTCTAGCTGGAGTGAGACGGCAACTCTGCTGAGCACAGAACAGCGTGTTAACTACTAGATTCACGGTTGTCACATTCCTATAATAGGCTCCCCGCCTTGGGGGCCAACAGGACATCGTGCAGATTCTCTTCTGGGGAAATCTTCTGCCTGATTGACATTTGTAAAGCGCTGCATTGCCAACTGTCCTGTTTCTGGTGCGCAGACCGCAGTTGGCACGAGTGGCTGAGGAGGACGGGCACGGGAGCACGTTCAACCCACCAGGTGTTCCCCCTCGACCGGGCCATTCTTTGCTCATTTCTCCCCGTGAAAAGTCATCGGAAGGATGCCATAAAATAGCACTCCCTCCCTAAAGGGCAGGCAGATTAGGGCAGGGGGACCGCTGTGATTGGATGGATGCCAGTTTGGGGGGTAGATTCTCCACCGTTGAAAATGCGCCCCAAACTGCTGTCGGTTAAGATGTGCAGCCTGGGCTTCCCTCGGGAGTGTCCAGGGTTGTTAGTGGAGGTCTCAGTGTTTGCTCCTTGTCTTCCTCTTTTACCACTTGGTAATCTTTAGCCTAAATCACAGGCTTAGAAAAATAACGTGACTTTTTAAATTTAATTTGCTTTCGAATGGCAGTTTTTCCCCAATACCTTCACTGTTCATCACGGCAAAGTGATGCTATCTCCAGGCAGTGAACAGTGTCGAGATCAAGGTTCCACTGACCCATACAAGGCCTCATGGTCCTCGCCTGCATGTCGGGTGCTGGGCGGGTGCCAAGCCCACCCAATCCTTGGGCCCAGGCCTCTTTCCTGCCTATCCAACGAGCATTAGTCCTGCGTCACCCTCTCCTCCTCCAGCCTGCAGCAGCTTCTGGCCTGTGCTGGCCTCACACCCTCCCGGGAACGTGACCAGCCTGCATGAGCGTGCCTGGCACTGACACCAGCCCAAGGCCACCGCAGGCCCAGCGAGCTCTGGAGCTTGTGTCTAGGGGACCCTCTCCTCGGGCCGTGCTAGGCTCAGTGCCGGAGAACTGGAGGCCAAGCCCACATGGTCTTTGCTTCACCTTCCTGTGACTTCTCTTAGGTGATCTGCTGCTCTGTCCTGGTGGAGGCTGCAGTGAGCCCCCACTGGGCGCCCCGCCGTCCTCGCAGGTTTGTCCACCACGGCCAGGCTGCTGCCCAGCCCGGTGCCTGGGGGGAGCGCCCTCGGGTTTTGATCCCAGGGCATATTTGCTGCACGGTGATCCGTTCTAATCGTTAACCAGGCTGTCATCGAAAGGGCCAACCCCTGCTAACTGAAACCCCGATTCCCTGTTGTGCGAGTGTGGACTACAGGAGGCGAGAGGAGGATAGGCCTGAGGGTGGTTGATTGATTAGACGACCTTCAAGATCTCTCTGGGCCCTGGGCCTAGAGGACAGCCGAGGGGTGGGGGCAGTTCCAGTTGGCTCCCGGCTGCCACCACAACCAGGATTAGGGCTTTAGCCAGCAGAAACCGGAGAGTGAGCGTGCACTTTGTGCCAGTAGCAGAGCAGGGGTCTTCCTGCAGCCCAAAGATTGGGTGGCTTTTTGGGGGCGGGGAGATGGTCCGGGCAGTGGAAGCATGTGTCCCCACCAACCTGAGGCCCCGGGAAGCCTGGTGCCCGCGCACCCTGTGTCTCAGCACCCCGCCCGCCCCGGGACTGCAGGGCCGGCACGCGCTCCGGTGGGAGAAAGTCCAAGGCAAAGGAGGGCCTGAGGGGACGGCCAGACCTTTGCCATCCCCCGTGGCAGTCACAAGCCACCTGTGGCCACTGAATCCCAAAACTGGGCCTGTCCAAATGGAAATGTGCTATACGTGTCCACTACACAGCACACTGTAAAGGCTTCATGTGAAAAAAAGTCATTAATCATATTGATTACATGTTGAAATGATAATATGGAATATATTTGGTTAAATAAAATAAGATTAATTTCACCTGTTTTTAAATTGTGACATGTGCTACTGGGAAATTGTAAATGTCACACGTGGCTTGTGTTATCCTTCCGTTGGCTGAGGCTGGTAGAGGCACCACTCTCTGTAACGGGCGGGCCTGTCTGCCTGGCGTCTGCGTGACTGCGGTCACCTCCACCTGAAGAGCTGCAGAGGGGGACGCAGACCCTGCGGGTTAAGAAGGAGGCCTCGACCAGTGGCTGCCGGGCAAGGGGCTGGCGCTCTGCTGCTCTGCAGGGAGAAGCAGAGTGCTGTTCTCCTGCTGAGAGGAGGCGGACCCCCACTCTGTGGGTTTGATACTGTTTCTGTGCATCACATGGTTCCTGGGAACCACTGTCTTCATCTTGGTCACCTTCACCCTTCCTAAGGCGCGCGATTGCGACGCAGAGTATTCTCGTGTTAGGTTTCCTTACCGCGGACTGTCCTCACGGAGTGGAGTCGGCCTCGCCGAGGTGGTGGCAGCGCTGTCGCCCCTGCGCGGGCTGCCCCCAGCCCGGGTTGGGTGGGCCCGAGCCGTCGGCTCCTGGCGCCTGCTGTGTAGATTTCCTCCGCTGCCGTGACGGGTGTGAGCGAGGAGGTGGGGTGTGCGGGCTCTTCGCCACAGAAGCCAGAACAGGGTCTGTCCCTTCTCGGGGATCTGAGAGGAAGAGAGCTCCTATGGACCGAGCAGGGGCAATTGCTGCCTTCTGTTTGCTCCCTGATCTTGCCTAGATGAAGAGCTCAGTGTTAAGGTGGGAAACTGGGGGTAAAGTGACCTGGAGTGGGGCAGCTTGTTTCCCTTCAACAAGGTGTGGGAAGCTAAAGGCCAACTTCAGATTGTCACCCCTCACTTGTATCCAGGCCAGTCCAGCGTGCGAGAAGGTAGCAGTGTTCACTCGGTTAATGCTTAGAGGTAAAGGCTTGTCATTTGTAAACAATGCTAATCAACTAAAGCATTAGGACAGCTTAAGGATAAGTTTGTGTCCATAGAGCTGAAAATTGTAGCTTCGGCGTTGCACTATTGTAATCTTAAAGTTATTCTTAATAAATGAATGCCAAACTTAATGTAACTATGCGCATCCCAATAGTAAGTGTAAAGAAATGTAAGCGCTCTTTGCTGTTTAAGAGTTTAACTTAAGTTTATCTAAGCCCAGGCCTGTGTTACAAGATACAGGTGAGAGCCTCGGCCTCTGCCCCACCTGAAGGGACAGACAGCACCTGTTCTTACTGGGGCCAAGCGATGTCCTGTGCGGATCGGCACGTCCCGTGCACGCATCCAGCTGCAGCCTAAGGGCAGGACTGGGCTTTGCTCTGGGGCTCTCCACGTCCTTGGCCTGGGTCCTCCTTTCTCCACCTGTGGGGCCCCACAAAGGCAGAGGGGTGCCACCTTCACACCACCACTGAGAAAGCAAGAATCCCTGGCAGATCCTGGGGAGGGTGTGTAGTCCAGAACTGCAGTGTCCTGGGCTGCTCCAAGAGCTCCAATCGGAGCTGTGGGGACCCTCTGTGGCCCTGAGTTGCAGCCCTGGCCTAAGGCGCTGAATAGCCTCCAGGAGGCGCCTTAATACCTTTGGGCCAATGAAGTTCCAAAGAACCCAGGCTCCTCTGCCCCCGAGAGACCACTTTCTCCCCCAGAGGCCAAGGCCAGCCCTGCCCACCTACTCCTGGGCCGTGTTGAGGCCCAAATACTACACCCAAGCAGGGTTCCGATTCGTTAGGAACGTGGTGCAATAATCCGGATGGGAATCGAATAGATGAAGTGGAGGGTTTGTTAAACACTGGCTTCCAAACCAGCGGAAGCTAATTCTGATCACGTGAGACACTGGCGGAGGGCGATTCTGTGACTTCCTCGCTGCCGGTGCTGTGCTGGATTAATGTAAACTGCTTTGTTTGCAGGGCGTATTGTCATCCCCAAACCAGGCCAGTTCTCCGGGTGGGACTGTAGTGTAGCGACCCCGCTGCTGCTCGCACACTCTACCCGGACTCGGACTTGAGGGAGTGACCACGAGGAGCCACAAGCTGCGCTTGAGCCACGGCAGGCAGAGGACCTCAGGCGGCGGACCGCGACAGGGGCTGCGTGGACGCGTGCCCAGCTCGCTCCGGCGGCGCCGTGCTCTCCGCTGTGCACCCAAAGAAGTTGTTTCCATTTTTAAATCAGTCTGTTGGGGCTGCAGTAAAAAATAAGAAATGGAGTTTTCTTGCTTTTTACTCTAAAATTCAGTGTAATTAAATCTCTCATATATATGAAATATACACATATATACATAGTGTAAAATAAAATATTTCTTGGACAGAAAATCCCCTTAAATCCAGCTGTTATAAATAGTACTTCACTTTGTTTTTGCACTGATTTTTTTTATATCTTAGGTGGTCAAAAGACAGCCTAGAATGCACTCGTACAGTTACTTTCTGACTCAAAATGTAATTCAGGAAGACGGATGCTGCAATCATAGATGTTTGGAAATTGTTTGCACTTAAAATAGTTTAATGCTGATAGAAAATTACTTTGAATTTGGGTGTGATGGATTCATGGCCCTCCAAGGTGTGAAGACATACCCCTTTCATCTGTTAACATTTATTTTAATACTGTTGTTTCCAATGCGATCAACTCTGTATTATATGTACAAACAATGTAATTCTACAACGGGGGAAATAGTACCTCACTAGTGATTTTCATCATTTGAGAGTGGTATTTCTAATTCACAAAAAAACATTAATATTAAAACTATCTTGAATATACCATCCATGTTCCGTTAAACTGGCTCAATTTTTAATGTAATTTTTTGTTGAATTAGTTGGTATGGAATTATTTTGTCCTTTTTTTATACCATGTTCCTTGAAGCCCCATCAGTCAGATTGAAGCTGATGGGACTGTTCAAGAACATGGCTCATTCGGGGAGATGTGGGTTCTTTGGCCCCTTCTCTGCCTCACCTGTCTGTGTCCACGCGAGCTGCTGCGTGTGCGCGGGGCCTGCGGCTGCGGTGAATCATTGTTCTTACAGCTTGGAGTCCATCACGGAAAGCCTGAGACCACACATCACATGGTTTCTAAGGTGAGTATGAAAGTGCTTTGTTAACTACTTTGTGACACAAAATAGCTAACGAATAGGGTAAAATGAGGTGGTGCCGAGGGACAAAAAGAAAAAGAAGTAGCTAATGAAGCATTACCTGAGACTTTTATTTGGTTGAAACCAGTTCACGAGCACCTCTGAGTCTGGGTCATCCCACACCCGCTTACAGACTCCACGGGGAACCAGCGTCGTAACAGCGTGCGCAGCTGCCAGCCGTGTCCAGCTGGATCCTTTGAAGGCCGTGTTTGGTGAGACTCTACGAAGTGTCTACAACCCGTTTCTCTAAGTGATCACACTGAATCTGGGCAACGTCTAAGTTATTTCAGGCTTTTGAGGGGTGTGCTACATTTTTACCATTTATGTAAATGTGGCAACAGAAAAATTCCCATCAGCCCAGGTCTCAGTTTAGTCCATCTTCAGAGGAGAGGTTGGCCATGGTCAGGTCGGCTCCCAGCTTGGAAGCCCTCGCTGCCGGAAGCGCCTCCGCATCTCAGGGCCGTGCACAGTGGGATGAGCCTTCGGAAAGGTGAACAATACAAAATACTAAGACTTGCTATGTCTTAAATGAAAGACTCAATCTACAAGTCAAGACACGTGCAGAATGACCTCCGTTTAAAATCAGATACTAGCACATTTTGGGTAGTTTAGTATTTTTGTCATCTTAGTCAAAGCACTGGTTTCTAAGTGCTGTCAGTTATACAGAAACCAGTGCCAGGAGGGTCTGGAATACCTAAGCAAACCACAGGTATATTTGGAATGTGGAAGGAACTGCCTTTGAAAATCAAGTCTAGAATTCTTAATCTAGTGATCCTCCTGGGTTGTCTCCTTATTTATTCTCTTTCTTTTCTGTTTGTAGGAAATCTGACTGACACCAGAACAATTAGTGTGGTAAAGCACAGGACGACCCAGCCACGTGCATAGCTTTCAGCAGCCCAGAGACCGGCGTCACTTGGGGTGGTTAGTCCCAGCTCTGCCTCAGCCCAGTCTCTGTCACCTTCTGTTGGGTTCTGGAATGCAGTTTGGCCATCTCTGTACTACAGCTGTCAGATGCATCCCAGACTACTATAGATGCACCTATGCCAGGAACAAATCTTTATTTTTAATGGCACTGTCCCTAATATTGGTCCCTGACCAAGTGGTCCAAGATAGCTTCCAAAATCTAGCTGTCTGTACCATTCGCACCCCTGCCACCAGCAGCACAGAGCATTCAGCAGACGCGGGACAGAGCACCGAGGCGGCCTCAGGGCTGGCCCCCACCTTCACTCAGGAGCCACGGAAGGAGATAGGGAGTCTGCTCGGCTTCCCTGGTACGATTTGTGTTTGCTTTTCTCACTTCTTGCCACGAGCTTTCTCAGACCTTGGGAGTTGGTGAATGCGTGCTCCACGCATGGGGACTGGGTCTAGAGGAAGCCAGGAGGAGCTCCGCTCTAGCCACCCCTGCTATGTCACGGTGTGGCCTGGGGGGCAACGGAGGAGGAGATGGCAGGAGACCACAGAGCCCGTTGCTGCCGCCTTGCCTGCTCCAAGCGTAGGACATGAAGACACCATCCGTGTTTGAGTCCTTGGACAGAGATGTCTGCGTCCTGCCTGCCCCAGACCACCGCCCACAGGCCCAACTCCAGCGTGGGAAGCAGTCAGGCTCCACGTGCGCGTCTGCCCCCTCTGATCTCTTCCTGCAAGACGAGGAGGGCACTGTGGGTGGAAGAGGGCGGATCAACACGAGATGAGTAGGGCGCACGGCCCAGCACTCAGCAGGCGCCCAGTGAGCGCTGTGGGCCGGACGTATCTTACTGGGGCTGGTGAAGGACGAGTGAGGCGTCCTCCTTGCTTCTGCTCGGAGTTCCGTGGTGATAATTCAAGCGCTTCAGGAGCCGTTTAATAGCGCTGTCCAGAAGAACTTAAATGACCTGGCCAGCCAGCCCTCACCATCTTTCCAATTCGGGAGTGGGCAGAGCCCCCAGCAGGGCTCTGACAACGGGGAGAGGCGGCCTCCGTGGGATGAGCCAGCTTGGCCCCTGTGCCCTCAGCTCTGGCCAGCACCTGCCTGTCGCAGGGCTGGGAGGCTGGGCCCAAAGGCGGGCATGGGGAACCACAGCACTTGAAGCTGCCATGGGCCCCTGCTGCTGGCAAGAGCAGGCAGGCGCGACTCCAAGGGAAGTGTAGGATGTCCAGGGCGGCCAACAGGACCTTCCTTCTCTCCCAGTCCTTGTGAAGCTGATGTCTGTCCGAGCGTGCAGCGAGCCACACTGCTCCTCCGTGGAGGCGGGGCCTTGCCTCTTGCCTGGAGCCTCCCTGGGCCCGGGTGTCCCTGGCTCAACACTGCTGCTGAGTGTTTACGCCAGAGACCAACAGGAAACCAGGAAGGCCGCATTTGGTGGACAGGGCATGTCCCCTGCGAGCTGGGCCTGCCTCCAGAGAGCCCCCAGCCCCACTGTCCCCGCCATGGGGCAGGAGGGTGGTTAGAGAGTAAGGGCGGTTTCTTGGGCAGCAGCATCTGCACATCGTTTGCTTTCTCAAAAAGGCATGGAGAAGGACCTTCAAGAGTCCCTCCACCCTGGCTTTTTTTTTTTTTTGAGATGGAGTCTTGCTCTGTTGCCCTGGCTAGAGTGCAGTGGCATCATCCTAGCTCACAGCAACCTCAAACTCCTGGGCTCAAGTGATCCTCCTGCCCCCTGAGTAGCTGGGACTATAGTGTGCACACCACCACACCTGGCTAATTTTTCTTTTTGTAGAGATGGCATCTTGCTCTTGCCCAGGCTGGTCTCGAACTCCAGAGCTCAAGCGATCCCCCTGCCTCGGCCTCCAAGTCCCTTCATGTTTTATATACTTAAAGGAGGTAACACACTTAACAGGCCTTGAACGTTCCCTGACTTAAAGCCAGTCTTGATGACAGCAGCCGCTGCCTCTCTCCGGACTTGGTTCTCTGGTAGCCTCCCCCGGCCCGGGCTCAGAAGGTGGCTCAACTGCCTGCAGGTCCCTCTTCTGGCCCGTGCCCCACCACTCCCACCTCCCCTGGTCTTCTGTGTCACTGGCCCTTCCTGCCCCTGGGCTGGGTGGGACTCTGCCCCAGCCCTGTCTCTGGTCTGTGAACCTGTCTCGGCTTCCACCGGGACTCCTGACCCCCAGGCCCTCTGCAGAGGCAGAAGGGCGCGTACCCTCCCTGCTCAGACACCTCCCCAGCACGGGGGCAGCCCTGGCAGGCTCTCAAATAGCTTAAAAGGAAGCGTGCTCCAGGCCCTCCCCACGTGCATCCAGGCCTCACTTCCGGTCTTGAATCTGCCCTTCTCTGGCTCCTTTGCCCCCACGGGGCCCAGACCAGACACCCACACCCTCGGCTGGCTGCTCTTTTTCTCTCCCCCTCAGCCTACCCCTCCACGTGGCCCCGTGTCCACCGCCTGCAGCCCAGACGTCCTGTCGCTCCTGGCTCTGCCTCACCACCCGTCAGGTGGCCTGGGGGCGGGGCCCCGGAGAGCACCTGGAAGGAAGGAGTGGTGTCACAGATCTGTCTCAACAGAGGAACAAGGAGACTCAACACTAGCCTGGGAAATTTAGCTTTTTTTTTTTTTAAATACTGTAAATTTGAGAAGATGAGAAAGAAGTAGCTTTCGATTACTAGGTCGCTTTCTAAGACAAAAAGGGGCTTAACAGGATTCTTCTCCTCTGCCAGCATCCTGGCCAGTGCCTCTGTTTCTCTGCAGTGTTCCCAGCCCACCCCCGAGGGAAACGGGTTTCTTTCTGTAGGACACAAGTGCCCAGCTCACTGTCGGCATCCCAGAACCAAAGCTCACCCCCACTGGCAGGCGGGAGGCAGAGTGTTCTGTCCCTTCTGTGGCACCTTGAAGCCGGGTGCTCAGAAGAGACTCCGCAGGCCTGGCGTCGTGCCCGGCCCCACCTTGTGCGGCTAACGTCACAGCGACAGCCCGAGAACAAGCTTGTGTGTTTCCGTAATGGCTTTTAAAATGGAGTAAAATCAAGCCGTCCCAAAGTATCCCCAACAAAATCAATTGCCCTAATGTGCCCACAAAAGCTAAAATCAAGGAATGGACAGGAAGGACGCGTTTAACTTAGAAAATATTAAAATGAAATACTGGAATGACAGCTTATCCTTTAATAAAAATCAAGGGGCTCCGAGAGCACAATCTGTCGGGCGTGCCGCGTGCGGTGCTCACGGTCACGTTCCAGGAAAGGCAGCCACGTGGAGCCGCCCTTGGCCAGCCCGATGCACGAATCCCAGCGCGTTCCCTCTGATTCATATAAAAAGTTACAAAACAGTCCCTGCCCCAAATTGTCAGGTTATGAAAATGAAAACCCTGGAGTGCAGTGGTTTTACAAATGTATTGGACGGGAACACACGGTACAGCTGTTCTGGGACTGCTGACATGGCCCCGGGCCACCAGCTCCGGCTGGGTGCGGGCAGGTCCGCAGAGCAGCACGTGCCCGGCCGTCGGGCTTCTCCCGAGCCCCGTGTCGCCCGGGCGGCCCTGGTCCTGCCTGGCTTTACCCTCCACAGAGCTGAGGTGGCGCAAGCTGCTCAGTACCCTCCACCTTTCCTCTCTGTGGTGGGCAAGCGATACGGTTTCAGGGCGGGTTTCATGTCCTCCTGCGGATCTGTCTGTTAAAGAAAAATGACAGACATTCAGTCGGGCCTGGGACGGGGCCCAGGAGCGGCGCCCTCAGAGAAGCCAGTGGTGTGCGCTACCTTCTTGTTTGCCCCAACACACTTGAGGGGCCTCAGCACTGGGGCCTTCCCGTTTGTTCCAGATGCAAACACTGACGGCAGCGTGGGGCTGGAGTAAGACGACAGTTTGGTCACTCCGGAAAGCTTTAGTTTGGGCAGCTCCATCACGTAGGCCGGTCCTTGTCTCTTGGGATGGTCCTCCTCTTGCGTTAAGGATGGTTTCTTGAAACAGAACAAAGGTCAGTTGGACATAAAAGGCTTCTTTTTTATGAAAATTAGGAAAAACAAAAGAGGCTCTCTTGTATTACTTTTGCCTAATAAAATTTCTTGACCGTGAGTGTGACCTTCCAGTGACTACAAAACGTCCAGCATGTCCCAGACACCCAAGAGCCAGGTGGCTGCTCGCTGGAGTCGCACAGAGAGAAGCGAAACCTCGTACTGCAGCCTTCCTCCTAGGGACCTGTCCTCTCGGATCTTGCTTGTTCCCACCAATGACCATCCATGTGCTGGTGCCACCCTTGGTGCCACCACCCAGCAGTGCCTGGGGAGGCTGAGGAATGGCCCAGTGCCGAGCGGCTGTGACGAGAGGTGAGTGCAGGCCCTGATGCCTCCTGCCTCCCAGACCCACCCCGAGGCTTTGGGCCCTGCCCGCTGCCTGCACCGGCATGGCTTGTGAGCTAAGAATGGGTTTTACATGTTTTAGTGGTTAAAAAAAAACTTCGTGGCATATGAAATCCACATTTCAGTGTCCAGAGTTTTACTGGAACGCGGCCTCAGCACCGGTTCACATGTTGCCTGTAGCTGCTTTCACGCTGCTGCGAAGAGAGGTGGGCGGTTGCAACAGACGCCTCATAGTCCACAAAGCCTAAGATATTTCCTGTCTGGCCCTTACAGAAAAGTTTGCTGACCTCTGATGTGACTGACGGTGGGGACTTCCATAGGCACTGGCAGGCAATGACACCAGGCAAATGTTTGAAAGGGTCCCTCTATCTAGGAGGGAGGGGCGCCAGAGCAGGGACAGGGCTGGGAGGTCATCTGTGTGTCCAGGCAAGGGGAGGATGAGGGAGGTGAGAAGGCAAACCCACGGGGCTCTCTGAGGGTGGTGCTGGAGGGACAGCGCCAGGGGGAGGGACAGCCTGGGGCTGAAGGGAAGGCCTTGGGAAGCCACAGGGAAAAGGCGCCTGTGGGGGAAGGATCAGGAGACGGGGTCTGAACAAGTTTGCCTCTTAGACATTCGAGTGGAGCTATCGAGTAGGAGGCGGGACACAGGAGTCTAGATTTCTGGGAAGCAGCCTGGCTGCAGATGGATCTGTGACCTTCGCTCTTGGCATGCAGTGAGCACTCAGTAGACGCGGATGAATGAGTGCTGCAAGGGTGACTGAAAACATGGATGCTGGAAGGGCCCATTGTCACACACAGTTTGAGTACTAGCCGCAAACTGTAAAACCGGTGGGTCTGAGCAAATGGGTGCCATGTGGGTGACATCATCTTAGGACTGAATGTGGGCAGAAAGGTGAAGATATTGCAAAATGAAGCTGTCATTTCTAAACCAAACAAGCATGTAAAACCACCTCTGCTGACAAGACGAAGTACTCGTCAGGGGCCCGCTGTGCTCCATGAGGGCTTGGGGGTCAAGTGGAGAGAGTGTGGCCTGCCCAGAGCTTGGGACTTGTCGGTGGCTAGGTGGGTGCCTTGGGCCAATGCTGTGGCTTCTCTGTGCCTCTTGCGAGGGTCGTTCTGAGGGCACAGTAAGGTGATGTCTGCAACATGCTTTGGTGCAGAACCTGGCACCCGCACACGGTCATCAGAACAGACCCCAAAACTCATGTAAGGGTCCCCCTGCCCGGACCTGCTTATGTGGGATGTTGGTCACCGATCCTTAGCTAGTGGGGCAGAAAGGGCTTGAGCAATTAGAACGAGGGTCCCTAACATTCTAACGTGTGGAGACATTAACTGGCATAGCGTCCAGGCCTTGGTTGACAAGGTGCAGTTTCAGGACAGATGTGGCAGCGTGGTCCACAGGTGGCATCCTCAGAGAGACAGGCCACCCAAGGGCATCCAGTGCCCGCTCAACCAGGCTATTTCTGGCCCACTGATTTCACGCAGTACCTGCTTTCTGCCCTCCTTCGACGTTTGCCAGCTGTGTCTGGGGGATCCCGCTGCCATAGGGTGCTCTGGGAAGCAAGCTTTTCTGTGGCTGGCCAGAGCCTGCTTCTCAGTTGCCCTGCAGGGGAGGAGAGAACAAAACACCTCTACTGAGAACCCGCAGAGCACAACTGCTTGTTTGCTTTCTTTGTCCCAAATTTGTCTGTTGTGTGAATTGTCACCAGCTCTTCTTTTCCACATGAGCTATGATGAGGAAGCTTTCTTTCTTTCTTCAGTCTCTGGGCCGGAAGCAGGGAAGGCTCCATGACCCACGGGCACTGCCCTCCCGCCTGCCTGCACTGCCTACCCCAGGACTTGTGGTTTGGCATCACACTGTCACCTCCATAGTTACACACATAGGAGTGTCCAGAGGTGTGGAATTAGACGACCTCAGGGCAGACACCTCTTAGGTTCCCATTCGGCAGCTACTTCCAGTGCCAGGTAATATTCAATGTGCTCTAAAACCTTACGAGCTCATGCTATAAATGTAGGAGTTTATGCCGTTTACACAGGGTGTGTGCCAGGCTCTTCTAGAATCTTACTAACTGGAGCCTCAGCATCAACCGCAAAGCAGACAGACACACCCCCTTACCCTTGCCACGGAGCTGCTAACAGCCTCATTTTCGGGAGGATACACCAGAAAACAGCACAGTGGGTGTTCCAAGGAGCACTGACCACCGTTCAGGATAGAGACAGCTGTTCCCAGGAACAAGGGGACCCTCCAGAGGCAAGTCGGTCCCTTGCCCCACTGTGCGCCCCACGAGTCTCGTTAGCCAGGTACTCTGTGTCAGGGAAGTCCGGCAGAGGGCCTACCTCTGTTCTTGGAAGTAGGGATGCTGCAGAGCCTGGCGGGCAGTGATTCTCTCGTCAGGATCATAGGCCACCATTGCATGCAGGAGGGAGAGGCATTGCGGGGACAAATTGGTTGTCAGTAGAGGTATTCCTGATCCCTTTTTAAAAGGAAAATCAAAACTCATAGCTCTCGACCTGTATTAAAAGCCCAATGATAATAAATGATCATGCCATTATGTAGAGCACTTGGCTGGTCCATCTAAGGCCCTGTGCTGAAGGTGACGGTTTCTGACCTACAGACCATACGTTTGTCCAAGCCATAGGATGGACGACTCCAAGAGTGAGCCCTCACATAAACCAGGGATTCTCGAGGTCATGATTTGTCAATGGTCATCAACCATAACAAACGCACCACTCTGGGGGGATGTCGACAGTGGGGGAGGGGGTCTGGGGACTATCTCTGTACTTGCCACTCAATTTTGCTGCACACCTAAGACTGCTCTAAAAAATAAGGTCTATTAAAAAGGGGGTGTGTGAAATCAGTTATGCTATAAATGGAAGAAACCTACTTTTCTTATAAAAGATTAATATCGCCTTCCCATGTGAGATGAAAAAGTTA